GATTGGTTTATTTTTATTCATTTATATAAATTTCTTTATCTTTACCTTGTGCGAAATGTCTATTTTCTTTATTAGATTTGATCAATCTAATAAAGGATGATAGCTTGAGGGATAGAACCCTAGATAGGAATATTGGGGTTTTTGATCTTGAAAGGGGGTAAGATAACAATTATTATGCATGCTAGGAATAGATGTATAATTAATTGCAGATGCTTTAATTATCGTGTTCATTGCTTAATTTTCATGAGGGGTTACTAAGGGATTAGGATTCCAATTGAGATTAAAGGGTTAAATTGCCAAGGGATTGAGATTTATCTAATTAATTCTAGATGATAATTATCTGAGTATTTATATAAATAAGTATTTTTAAATCAATCCAAGGTAAGAAGTGGGGATCATATGGTGAGTTCACTCTAGCTACAATTCTTTCTCTCAATTACAAAAAGCCATATCTGTTTCTTTCTTAAAAGCAAAAAAATCTAAAAATACATTTTATTTTAATTCTCATTATTCTCAAATCCACAACAATTTTCACAAACTATTTGAACTCCTCCATTCTTGAAAGGACTATTAAATTATAAACGATCACAATCCCTGTGGAGACGAACTTTACTTACTATTATATTACTTGTGCGATCGGTATACTTGCTGGTGAGCATCAAGTTTTTGGCGCCGTTGCCGGGGATTGGCGTATCTTTTATCAATTAATTATGATTTTTAAGATTGGATTTTTATTTTATTTTTATTTTTGATTTCTCTGTTATTCTTGAACAGTGCTACCAATCCCTTTTTTGAGTTGTATGCGAGGTAAAGAGCCGGAATTTCCACTTGACTTGGAGATTACAAAAACATAAAAAAGAAACAGAAAACTTGCTCGGAAGAAGCTTGCATTCAACGAGTTGGGAATTCTGTCTGAAAAAGCACACAAGATGGAAGAGAATAATGAAGCGGACAATCCACTCATGGACACCATTCTGACGCCACTATTTAACAGGCCCAATTCAATAATTGGGAGCTCAAGTCTGATAATATTCGACTGGTGGAGAGAGCTCAGTTTGGTGGAGAGGATGATCAAGACCCTCATAGGTTCATAAACAGATTCCTGATGATCTGTGACTCGACTAAACATCCTCAAGTGTCCAATGATGCAGTCCGGCTGAGACTGCTTCCTTTTGCTCTTAAAGGAAAAGCTTTGAATTGGTTGGAGAGGCAGCCTGCGAGGAGTATTCCCTCATAGGAGAATTTATCAAACAAGTTCTTTGCGGAATTCTTCTCGATGGAAAGATACAATCAAATGGTGAATGATATCACCAATTTCACTCAAGCTGAGGGTGAAACTATGTGTGCAGCCTAGAATCGGTTCAAAGATCTAATGAGGCGGTGTCCTCATTACCCCACGACCAATGGTGATCAGGTCCGGATCTTCTTCAACGGTTGTAAACCGAAAATTCGGTTGGTTCTGAATGGTGCAGCAGGTGGCACTATTAAAACTCTGAGAGCTAATGAGACTCTTGAGTTGATTGAGAGGATGGCTGCCAATGAAAATGAAGTGCTGTCATCCAAGCCTAAGAGAGGTATCCTTCAACTGAAAGGTAATGATGCGGTGCTGGCTGAAAACAGTTTGTTATCTCAGCAGATAGCAAACTTGACCTCAAGGCTTGATAGATGCAGCTTGCTGGTGTTCAGACTAAAGTTGCTGCTATTGTGTGTGAGTATTTCCAGGACAATCATGAGTCTAATGAATGTCCTTTGATGCCTTCTGATTCACCACAACAAGTACAGGTGAATGGCGTTTGGTATGATCAAAGACCTCCGCCGCAAAATACTCCAAGAAATCAGAATTTTCCATCTGGAAGTAGCAATTTTCAGAGGAGAGGTCAAGGAGGTGGTCTTGATTATAGTTCTAACAACTACCTGCAGCCTTCACCAATTCCAAACAAAGAACCTTATGATTTGGAGAGGTTAGTTGGACGAATGGCTCAACACTCCAATGCCTTCATGGAAGAGACTCGGGCAAATACCAGAAATACACAAGCCTCCATCAGAAATTTGGAGAACCAAATTGGCCAGATAGCTAAACAGATGGCTGAAAGAGCTCCAGGCACCTTCCCTAGCAATACAGTTACTAATCCGAAGGAAGATTGTATGGCCATCACAATTAGAAGCGGTAAAGTACTTCCATCTCCTGAAGTTGAAAAGAAGCTAGATACTGCAGGTGAGCCCGAAAAAGAAAAAGAAATTGAAAATCTGCTGAAGTGGAGAAGCTAGTTGAAAAGAAGAAATTTGAGTTGAGTCCTGAATATGTGAGAGCCATGGGATTAAAGGGTTAAATTGCCAAGGGATTGTGATTTAACTAATTAATTTTAGATGATAATTATCTGAGTATTTATATAAATAAGTATTTTTAAATCAATCCAAGGTACGAAGTGAGGATCATATGGTGAGTGCACTCTAGCTACAATTCTTTCTCTCAATTACAAAAAGCCATATATGTTTCTTTCTTAAAAGCAAAAAAAATCTAAAAATACGTTTTATTTTAATTCTCATTATTCTCAAATCCACAACAATTTTCACAAACTATTTTAACTCCTCCATTCTTGAAAGGACTATTAATTGATAAACGATCACAATCCCTGTGGAGACGAACTTTACTTACTATTATATTACTTGTGCGATCGGTATACTTGCCGGTGAGCATCATCAGCCAACGCTTGCGACTTGATTTCCTGTCGAGGTTCATACGATATGTCGAACTCAGAGAGCTCGACGACCCAGTTGATCATCCTTCCTGCTAGGTCCGGCTTGTGTAGCACTTGCCTGATGGGCTAGTTTGTTCGCACAATGACTCAGTGACCTTGGAAATAAGGTCGGAGCCTCCTTGCCGTGGTAAGCAGGGCGAATGCAACCTTTTCGAGCCTCTGGTAACAAAGTTCTGGTCCTTGCAATGTCTGACCTACAAAGTAGATCGTCTATTGTGATTTGTCGGTCTCCCGTACCAGAGCGGCACTGATGGCCTCTTCCCCCACAGACAAGTATAAGATCAACGTTTCTTCGGGCTCTGGTTTCGACAGTACAGGAGGTGTGGCTAAGCAGTTCTTTATATTTTCGAATGCCCTTTTGCATTCTTCACCCCATCCGAACTCCGCTTCTTTTTTAAGGAGCTTAAAGAAAGGTAAGGCTTTTTCTGCCGACTTAGGCGAAAACCTAGTTAGGGCCGCAAGGCGACCTGTGAGCTGTTGGATTTCTTTCTTGGTTTCCGGCTGCTTTATCTCGAGGAAGACCTTGCATTTGTCGGGGTTGACTTCTATTCCTCGGTTGGTGAGCATGAAGCCCAAGAATTTTTCAGCTGGAACCCCAAAAGCGCATTTGGCCGGGTTCAATCTGATTTTTCGAGATCTTAGTTGCTCAAAAGTCTCCTTGAGGTCGGCGATATGCGCCGATATGCGCATTGATTTGACTATCATGTCGTCGATGTATACCTATAGATTTCTTCCAATTTGCGCTTGAAAAACGCGGTTCATCATCCTTTGATAGGTTGCCCTCGCATTTTTAAGACCAAAAGGCATGACGTTGTAGCAAAAGTTTCCTTTTTCTGAGATGAAGGCAGTTTTTTCGTGGTCATCTGGGTGTAATGGGATTTGATTGTACCCAGAGTACGCATCCATGAACGATAGTAGCTGAAATCCTGATGAATTATCAACTAGTTGGTCAATGATTGGCATCAGGTACGAGTCCTTTGGGAAGACCTTATTGAGGTCGGTGTAGTCCACACAGATCCTCCACTTCCCACTTGGTTTCTTCACCATCGCTACGTTAGACAGCCAAGTGGTGTACTGTATCTCCTTGATGAATACGACTTCTAACAGCTCGTCTATGTGTTCGCTTAAAGCTTGACGTCGGCCAGATCCTATCTTCCTCTTCTTTTGGGACATTGACTGCGATCCTGGGTACATGGAGAGCTTGTGGCAACAGAAAGTTGGGTCTATTCCTGGGATCTCCGAGGCCTTCTATGCGAATACGTCAGAGTTTTCCTTTAAGAAGGAAACCAGCTCCTTTTTAAAATTTGCCTCCAGGCTTTTTCCCACCTTGGTGTGCTCTTTATCGTCCCTCCCAATATTGACATATTCCAATTCTCCATGGGGTTCTGAATGAGGTTCCTGGAGCTCCTCTCTCATGTTGAGTTCGATCAAGTTTACCTCGCTTCCTAATGCCTTTAGCGATTGGTCCTTGGCTCCTCCACTTTTAAGCCGAGGGGGAGATGATGGACCTCCTTGATGGACCCGCAGGGTCTCATAGTAGCACTCCCTAGATTCTTTCTGATTTCTTCTTATGGTGATAATCTCGTTATTCGCCCCTGGCATTTTCAGTGCTTGATGCTTGGTGGAGATCAGCATATCCCAGTCATGGATTGTAGGCCAGCCAATGATCACGTTGTAGGAAGACGAGGTGTCTACAACGACGAAACGAACCCTTCCAGCTCGGAATGCATCCTTCGTGCCTAAGGTCAGCTTCAAATCAATGTAGCCTTTTGGAGGGGACGTCGCTCTGTTGAACCCGACCAGCTCGGTGACACATGGTTTCAAGTCCTTCTCGTCCAGGTTCATCCTCTGAAAAACATCCCAGAGAATTATGTCTGCCGAGCTTCCATGATCAATAAAAATTCTCTTGACCCAGCAATTGACTAGCACTTCGGTGATTACCAAGCCGTCGGTGTGTCCGGGTACGACCACTGCTAGTTCCTCCTGAGTGAAAAACAATCTTGGGGGAGCAGGATTACTGGCTTTCCCTTTGAAGGTCGGCCTGTCTCTTTCCGACATGACCTCCTTCAGGTACTTTCTTCTTGCATTGGCCGTGTCTCCTCCTCCTCCCAGAGCTCCGCTTATCACGTTGCATTCAAATTCAGCCTCCTGAAAAGACTCATCTTTATCTTTGACCTCTTTTCCCTTTGCAGGGCGGTATTGTTTGTGATCCTTTCTGTCCTCTCTCTTAGGGCTTCGACTTCAGCTCCGGCTTCTCTGTCTTCGCTTATTATTCTTCTTGCCCTGAGTTCGGATGATGTACTGCTTTAATTTTCCCTCTCTGATGTGCTTTTCGATGGCATCTCGGAGGTCCCAGTAGTCATCTGTGATATGACCGTTCTGGTCATGGAAGGCGCAATACTTGTTTCTATCCAATCCACTATTGGCTTTGAGGGGTCGAGGTCTCTCGACATTACGCATTTCAGTGTGGGCCACCTCTTTCCATATCCGAGATCTGGACATGTTCAAGGGCGAGTAATCATCATATTTCCTCCTTTGAGACCGATCTTCCGTCTTATCACGAGTGTCCTTCGATTTCTTCGATCCCCGCTGGTCCCGGTCTTTGTTGTTTTTCGTACTCGGACTCCCGTGATTCGGACTTCGACCTCTGGATTCCCCATAAGCCTTCTGGATGTCCTCCACATCAATGTACTTGTTCGACCTTCGTCGGAACTCCTCCAGGTCATTGATCGGGTTCTTGCAAATTGACTTTGCCAGTTGAGAATCACCATCTAATCCAGAGATGATCAGATGCAAGTGTACTGGCTCAGTTAAATTCCGAACCTTTAGGGCGGCATCTTTGAACCTATCGAGGTATTTCCTCAATGATTCATTCTCCTTTTGTCGGATTCTTCCCAAGGCGTAGGCCGGCATTGGATGCGGCTTGCTTGTTGCAAAATTCAACCGAAAAGTTGGGGCTAGGTCCTCGAACGAGTCAATCGAGTTCCTGGGAAGCCTGGTTATTCATGCCATTGCCTGGCCTGTTAACGTTGTCGCGAAGATTCTGGCCTTGATAGGTCCAGTTATCCCATTGAATAACATTTCGGTCTTGAAAGCCTCTAAATGGGCCTCCGGGTCTTGACTTCCGTCGTACGATGGTATCTTGGCACTCTTGAATATCGGCGATATTGCCAAGTTCATGAGCCTTTCAGTGAATGGACTATTGTTAGCCTCCTCATCAAGAAGATAATTATCTCCTTGGTTGTTGACTAGTCCTCCGCCCTCCTGGTGGTTGTCATGGCAGGGATTCTGCATATTTCCTTTTGTTGTGGCCGCATTTTGATGTTGTGGCTCATTAGCCTGGCCTGCGCATCCACCTCGACCTTCTCTTCCACCTCGGCCTGCTCCTCCAGCTCGTCCCACAAGGTTTTGATTTTGCAGCTCAGCCTCCAGCGCCTCCATCCTCTGGGCATTCAATCCTTGTGGAGCCAAGAATATGTTCTCCATCTCCTGCATCCTTTGGAGGATCGCATTCATGGCCACAGTGGTTATGTCCCTGGATTGTTCACTATATGGAGGTGGGCGCACTGGGCCCGCTGTCGTGTTGGGCTGGGTTCTGGAGGGCATTCCTTGAGTGGCAACCTCGCCGACCTGGACCTCTACTAGCACAGGGGTCGCGGCTGATTGGAGGTGTTCCAATGCAGGTTGGTGTGACGGCATACCATAAGGCTGAGGCTGAGATTGGTGTGGCGGCATTTGGGCAGTGCTGGACGTCGAACTGGTGTTCGTCATTGTGGAATGGGAATCGAAATTTATCGTCCCCACAGACGGCGCCAATGTTAGGTCCTGGATAGACCGTATTACTATACCGTGAGGTATGCGCTCAGAGATAATGTATATCAGGTGTATACTAGGCTTATAGCCGAGGTCCCAATCACTGCGCACAAGCAATAGGCTTATAGCCAAGGGGTGGGTGTGTGCACAATGTGGGCAGTATTCGTAAATAGGTTAGAAGTGTTTACCTGGGGTCCTTAGGCTCTTATTTATAAGGATTACCTTCCTAGGCTTGGGCTTTTTGAGCTCCCACAATTGCAATATGATTCAACTCCCTTTCTATTGGGATGTGATCCTTATCTTGTGCCCTTTGACTGTTTAGAGTTGTTGAGATGCTTATGACTCTATCTCTTAGTAGATTCCTAGGTGGGTAGTTGGGATATGATATTCATATCCATAACAACAACCACTGATATATCCACAGAATATAAAAAGATATCTTTCTTTTTCTTTGATATATTTAGTGAGTATTTAATACACAACCTAATAATACAACCTATTCAGATTCCTCATCACTAAACCAATAATAACCAATAATAACGGCTTATATAAAAAGATATCTGTAGACAAAATTTCTAGCCGGCACCGTACAGTCAATTTTTATGAAACCAATTAGGAAGAAAATCAGAAGGTAGACTCTACCAGGTTTACAAGGACCTGCACCATCCTGGTTAGACAGGAAAGAGAACAGAAGGCAAGGCCGCAAGAGCAATGACACACTTTCTCAAAGCTTCAATTCGTTTTATTTACCCATCAGGCCAGTTATGAATGGGTTAGCCCAGTTACATGAACTTTTTTACACGGGAACTACATGGACATTGAAATGTGTGATTAAAAAAATTCTCAAGTTTACTTTGGTACTTCTTTAAATTGTTGAGAAAGAGATTGTTTAAAGGGGCAGGTTATATTTACAAACTGTTTTGTTTACAAACTCTTACAAACTACACTATCTAGGACCGGTCCTACATTAATCACACAGTGTACGACCGGTCCTACATTAGTGTAATTGCAAAAAAAGTTTGTAAACAGATCCTGTCCCTTGTTTAAATTGTTGAGCGATGACAGTCACCAGAAATATTTTATAGTCTCTGGTCACAAGAAATGCTAGATGGTTGATAAATTAAGGAATTAGTATTTTTTATGCAGTAGGAGATAATTTTATTTTTTACATATGGGAAAAATGTGTGTCATATTAAAGGATGTAAAATTGTGTTATTTCTAGTGAGAGAAAGAGATAGACGATGGAGAAAGAGAGTGGACAAAAAAAATAAAGATATGAGTCTCATCTCTTTGTGAGAGTGAAATAACATAACTTATGTCATTTAAGACTTTGTTTGGGAGTTTGGAGAAAAATGAAAGGAAGGGGATCCAAGGAAAATGGAGGGGAAGGAAGGGAAAGTAATTGAAGGGTATTCCCTTCCCTTGTGTAGGAGTTAAAAAAATGGTAAAGGAGAAATTAGAGGGTGAATGAATATTTTTACAATTTTACCCTTTTTTAAAAATTAATATAATTACTATATTTTACAAATAAAATTAAATTTAAAATTTCTAAACAAAATTATTTATGTATTTTTCTAACTACTAAAAAAGATCATATTTTCAACAAAAATTCTACATTGCAAACTATAAAAATTCCGTCTAAAAATAATATTCTATCGGAATATTTTTCATCGAATGGTGACCGAGGTTTTATCCGATGAAATGTTTTACAAAATTTATAACAGAATTTAGTTTCCGTTAACAGTTTTGACGAAAATGATTTGTTAAATATTTTTGACGACAAAAATTTCATCAAAAGTTTTGACGGAAAAAATAATTCCGTCAAATTTTTTTTGATGAAAATTTGTCCCAAAGAAATTTTGACGAATTTTTTTTTGTCAAAATTGTTTAGGGAAATGCTTCTGTGAAACTTTCAACGAAATTTAGATTCCGTAAAAAATTTTGGCGGAAATATGTTCCGTAAATTTTTTTGAGGGAAATGTTTTTTGTTGGAAATATTTTTTGTCAAATTTTTTTGATGGAAATGTGTTTCGTCAAAAAGTATGATGAAAATATTTCCGTCGAAAACTTTTTCTAGAATTTATATTTTGTAAAGAATTTTGACGATTTTTTTTTTTTTTTTGTAAATTTTTTTTACAGAAATGTTTTTCGTCAAAACATTATACGAAAATTTTCAATAAAAATGTGTTTCGTTAAAATTTTGAGAGAAATATTCTTTATCGATCGACAAATGTGTTGTTTTAGAAAAATGAGATTCATAATTTAGCAGCCAGTGGGACCCCACTAAAATCTGAAGCTCTTATTAGCATATGACGTAGTCACTTAGCAGATTGCAAGTGTTGATATGGTAGGCATCCAATCTTTCAAATTTCTTTGGACAGTGGCCCATCACTTTTCAAGAAGACAAAAACACAACTATTTAAAGCACAATTATCAACGTGAGTATATTTCTTATTATTTGATCATCGGGACTTTTATCTCGGTTGGCGTATTTCTTATTACCTCATGAAACCACTTTATTTCGGTCGGTCAAGGATTTGTGATTATTTTTTATTAATATCAAGATGGGTCCATTTCATATGAAAGAGAAGGAACTGCGGACTACATCTAACCAAACATTTCTTTATCACGAGCTCCATCATAGGCATAAAAAGTACCGTCAAGTTCAACCAATGTGAGTAGTTAAAGCTAGCATGGAAGAAACGTTGCCTAGTCCAACCTATATGAACAAGCACTACAAAAAGAATTTAATTGCACAAACTTTATGTTGGGACCCGTGTGAACACTTTTAGCAAAATCTTGGATGTGTTTCAATTTGTGCTTCGGATATAAAGATAGGGTGTATTGATATTTTCCCAAGATTTGTTGGAATGGCTAGTTGCCGCATGGCTTGAGTAGTTGATTTAGAAGATCACAGGTTTACGTGAACAATGTTACTGTGCAAGACGTAATGATCAGAAAGATCACTCTTGAACCACCAGAGTGTAAGGAGCCACCTCATGATGCTTCACCAAATTATCATTAAAATGCTTGGCCCCCTAAAAGCAATATTCAGAAGAACCCACTCTCCAGCAACAAGCTCATTCAAGTAGGTTGGAAAATCTTCTTTTGCTGACCGGTAAAAACCTTAACACAATTACAAGTCAAAAATAGAAGACTCTTGAAACACTCAGTCTTACCTATTGATAAAAAAGACACGACGGCCAACATAGAGGCTCATTACCGATCGGTTAGATCATTGTGTCCTACTTTAAATATTACACATTACGAACAGCTTAAGTTCACATACACCTTGGCATCCTAACTTCGTAGGCTATCAACAAGTTGGCCCCAATATTAATAGTCTACATCTAGAACTTTCTAGAGGACATCCTATGGTGAGCCACTGAAGCTAATCACATGGGATTTCCCTTGTCTCTGCACTGCTGCCCACTGTACACTAACAATAGATGCAGCACGCCTTATCACACAAACAAGACTTGGAACAAGTGATACAGTTCTGGATACACTGCCTTTTCTCTCTCCCATGTCCTCTCAAAATACCCTTTTGTCCTGCTGAAGAGGGATCTTCTCTTCGATTCTTCTTATGAGCGGTTACTTTGTTCCCAAGATGATAAGCAATTGCGCAAATGTATGCATCAAATAATAAATAGGAGTATAAGGTCCCAAATTATTGTTCCGACAGATAATATACTAACCTCATATGTAGTTGTGGATTTAATTATGAATTAATAATTTTAATCATGTTATTGAAGAATAATTATAAGGATAGTAAAAGAAAAAGAAATAAAGTCATCTTTGGTGAAAAAAGAGATAAAATGACAGTTAAAGAGGGAAAAATGTGAGTAGGCAAAGTTACCCGAAAGTGAAAAGTAAAATGATAAATATTACCCTAAAAATATTGTGAACCAATATATCAAATTTGAAAGAGAGTTAAGAGAGCAGAATAAAGAAGTTTATACCCACTTGGTTAGTGAGCTTACTTAAAATGTCGAAACCTTCAACATTTCCTTCGTTTTCCAGCAGGCACTCGACAGAGAGGAATGAAATAGAAGTTTGATGGAAAATCTTCATTCTTTGATAAGTTGAGCTAGGATTGA